GATGTTTAATTGGATTAAAGCTTTTTAGCCTACCAACTATTATTAGAGCTGTTATGATCCTAATAAATAGTATAAGAGCGTAGGTTTGACACGTGAGAAGAGACAAGCTTAAAGGAGCTCAATTAAAATGAAGAGTTTGAATTCATATTTTGAGAAATCGATTAGTATAAAGCATGAAGACATAAGAAAAAGAATGTTATGAGACTTTCATTGTAGGTGGAACGAAGCATATCTAGCATAAAAGCTAATTATTTGATGAAATTTGAGTCAATGTGAATATTGTTAGGAATAATGACTCAAATCCTATAAAATATTTTTTTGAAATTGATTAGATATTACTTGATAGATAAGAACACTTACAAAAGAAGAATTCTAAAAGGAAAATGATTCTTGATAGAAAAATTAGTATGCTTATAAATTAGTAAAGTTACTATAAGATTAGATATGAGAAAATATATAAGAAAATTATAGAGTTTATTTGATAGATATCCCATAAGACTCGAAGAGATTGATACTATCTTTATAAGTGTGTATATTTGAATGAACTAAAAAAGAATGAGAGGATTTACATAAGTGTGGTGCATGGGTATACATGGGTATATATTTATTTGGTTTAAGAATAATTCACAAGTTTAGATGAGAATAAAAATGTCTATAAGTATTATTTTAAATTGATTTGCTTTGATATAATTTTTTACAATTAATGAATTTTTTTTTATCTGTGGACATTCCAGTTGGGTTAAATCACATTAAATTATTGTCTATTATGTGATTTATTGATTGTTTGATTATACTTATGTTATGTTAGACGTTTAATTAAATTGATACTTTTTAATCTAATAATTGGTATAAAAACTATCATAATCCTAACAATTTATACTTATGCCTTATATTATTTATTTTTTTATCAATTACTTTTCAATGCACCTTTAATTGTTAAATTTATTTGTGACATGAGTTCAATAATTTATGAAAGAATCTTACACATGTAAACAATGGTGATGGATATGTTGGAGAGTAATACTTAAAAAGTAATGAACATAAATATCAAAGGCATTTTGGATTATGATTTGTTGGTACTTTTATAGTTTTAAAATTTATATTTTAATATTTTTTAAACTTTCAAATTCATAATTTTTAAAAATAAAAAATTACAAAATTATTTATATTTTGGTTAGAAATGTTTAATGGTTAGGCTATTTACTTAAGCTTATGATTTTGACTATATCGAGTCAAACTTGGTTATAGATTTTTAATCTTGCACTTGATTTGATTATATTGTGTTATCAATAATTAGTAATATATTTTTATTTAATTTTATTTTTTTAACTCGATGAACATTTCTAATCATAATGGTACTCATCAGATTTTAAACTACTTAAATCTTTTTCCTAAATTTGTATTTTTGGTATAAAAAAATATTTTGGATTTAATTTAGAATTTCTCTAGTTTTGCCCAGCATTTCTACCACTTGAGTTAAGTCTTAACGATAATTAAAATATATTCTTTAATCTTACCTTCTTATCATTTAATATTAGAGATATTTATTAATTCAGATTAAGTGAAATTCAATCAGTACTTCTAAATACTTAGTTCAACTTACTCATTTAGGCTCCATCAATAACATTAAAAATATTATTAAATATACAAAATAATATTAATATTTAAATAAAATTATTTTATCATTAAAATAATATTTTAGTTTGATCAAAGTCAAATTCGAAAATTAATGTTGAAGATCCTGGCTCAAATGAGGCCAAGCTTGTAATCTTGGTGGGCCCTACATCCATAGACAAATCTACCTTGTTTGTCGCTTTTCTTTGCCAATTTCATGGCTTAAACTTATAATTGAAGTAGAATAGTCTTTTGCTTTATAAAAATTATTATTATTTTTTTATCTATTTTCTCATAAATTTAAAAATGCGTATGTGAAATTTGGACCACTTTTACCTAGAAAAGAAAACACATATAATCAAAACCTTTTTATGCACCCTTTGCAAAGGTTAATTATGTCCAACAAAGTGAAGAAAAGGGATAAGAAATACTTAAAAAGAAATTTAGGTTACATTGGCCCACTAAGATTTATACCTTACTTCACTATCATGAAAGTCTCTTGAGATTTTCGTATACACTTTATTAATCTTCGTTAACATACAATTAAAATTTTCTTTTAAGTGGAAACAACTTTCAAATTTAAGTACAACTATCAATTAAAAATGTTGCTCCATTTGATTGCCACATTATAATTAATGTTTGATTAAAGTTGAATAAAATAAAATATTAAATTTATACGATAAGATATAGTGGAACTGATTTTTAAATCTTATGTTTATTCTATATTATGTTTATAAATATTAAACTTATATGAACTCTTTTAAATAAATGTGAATGAAGTATGATATAATGTTATTATTTTTATTATTAATAATTTGAATCAATTTGAGAATGAATTAATTTGATGAATATAAAATTAGTACTTTTATAATATGAATATTTATATAACTATGTAATTAGTTATAATAAAGTATAAATATTTTTTCAAAAATAAAAAATATTATTAATTATGTCATCAATAAGTTCATGATATGAATTATGTAGGTTATGAATAATTACAATTAAAAAAATTTTATTTTTAATTTTATTTCATTATTGATATAATTATTTTATTAATGAAATATTAATTATATTATATGATATTCACTATATTAATATTTTCAAAATAATATAACATGATAAAAAATTTATTTTTTGATAAGTAATATTTTTCATAAAAACAAATACATCTTACATTATTTTCATGAATACTGAGTCATTTAATATATATATATATATATATGAATGAAATGAAGAAAATAGTATCATATAGTTAAATTTTGACATAGGATAAAACACTTTTTAATTTATTTTTGGTGAGTTAAATAAGGATAAGATTTCTAGAGGGTCAATCCGGTCTTGTTGTTAGATTCTTTAACCCTTTTGATAACAATTTTGAAGAAACTTGTTTGCATATAAAGACAAAGGAGAAAAAAACAAAAAGAATCGAATTTTGTTAGTCAATCACCAAATCTTGAATTTGGGATTTTTTTTTTTTTTGAACTTTCCATTCAACTTACAATATGTTTCCATAGCAATTCAAAAACGGAATTGAATTTGAAACTTTAGGGAAAACCATGGGTATTTTCATCAACTACCACACGCTCTGTGGATAATCATATCTCTTTTGACTAAGAAGCTTCAAATTCTAATTTTTTATTCTTTAAAACATATGTATTTACAAAAAGATTAAGATTTATATAGAATTTGTTAAATAAAATCCATGAATTTTTACAATTAAAAATAATTAAATGAAAATTAAAAATTGAAGATCAATTCAATAGATTATTGAAACTCGTTGATTAAATTCCATATATATTAAAAGCCAAAATGCGAGCCGGACAACAGAAAAGGTGGTGTTGGAGCGGAGCATCAAGGATATGGATTCCGCCCAAAGCTTACAAAAACGTAAAAGCACATGTTAGGATTAGGAGATATCAAAAAAAAAAAAAAAAAAGATTACAAATCATGACATATATAATTGTTGTTGAAAGTTGTTATTCTTTGGCATAACTGAAACATCGTACTTCATGGGAAATTTGTCATTCCATACCCCACCATTAGAATTATTCATTAAGCTTTATTCTTTATCTAATATTTTTTTTTTTTGTAATAAAATTTTCTTCATCACCATAAAAAAATAAAACACCTAACATAATTCTTAAAAGATAAGGGAGAAAAAGCTCTTGAAAAAAAGAAATTAACAAAAAACCTAAAATTTAAACTTTAAATTTATTGAAATATTAACTTTTTTAATTTAATGATTGAATGAACTATTCAAATTCAATTTTAAATTAAAAAACAATTTTTTAAATTGTTAATTCAGTTCAAATTCCAGAACCAATGACCCAAAAATAATGGAATCAAGGAATTTTATTTTCCTTCATGATGAATAGAATTTTATTTTATTTTATAACATACAATCCAAATGATGATTAAAATTAAATCTTAAAAAACTTTAGATTTGGGTTTCAACTTTTTTTTTTTTAAGCTTTTAATCTATCCTTAAATTTTTTATCTTATTATATATATGATTAAAAAAATATTATGCATCTTAACTCTCTAAATTTATAATTTTAAATATCAACTTCAATAATATATTAATTAATCCACAAAATAATTTTTTTTTTTAATCCCAGAGGTTGTAGGTGAATTAAATTCAGTTTTGAAAACATAGAAGACCTAGTCAAAAAAATGGAACGTGAACAATCATTTCATTCCAAAGTATCGTGGATTTTGGAATAGAATGTGTCAGCTGATCTGCCCTTACCAAAGGGTTAAGATAAAGATGCATGAATGATGGGTGAACTGGATAGAAGGATGGACGATGGATGGGCTGACCATAACATACATTCATTGATAAGGTCAAGAAGAAAGAAAAAGTGTTTTAATTTAGATGAAGTTAAGCATTGCATTTTGACAAGAACACAAAAATAATGATGGGTATGGGTGCAATGGGCATGCATGGGAAACAAATCTTAAAAGGGGATCAAAAAGCTCTTTTCTTTCTTTCTATCTTTCTTTGCCTTTGCCAATTGCCGCCACTCCCACTCCTCCACCCAACCTGCTCAGGATATCGTAAGCGCCTCAGGATTTTATAGATATATTAATTTAAAACAAGAAACAATGATATAATATAAAAAATTAAAATGATGAAAATTAAAATTTAATATATTTTTTATTTTTTATTTTTTATTTATACAAATTTAATTATATAATTTTTATGTAAAATATACTCGTATAAATACGTGAATTATCTATACTTTATAAATTCATAAATTCCCGTTTAAGGAAAAAGCACCTCCGCTGACATCATCTGTATCTCTTGGGAAGATTTTGTTGGGCCCACTTAACCCCCCTCCTCTCCTTCCGTCCCTCTCACCTCTCCGCTTTAGCTCTCATCCAAAACTTTTTTTTTTCGTTTCTTCCAAATTATTTCTCATTTTTTTTTTATGGTATTATAAAATATTTTTGTAATAACCTTTCCTTTTATAAGCAGTTGCTCTTGTCTCCCTCACTCTGTCCCTTGGTCTTTTACATATATAAATCAAGACCACCTCCCCCATTCGCTCCTTCAAAATCCTCATAGAGATTTGTTTCATTATTTTATTCCTTTGTTATTTGTCATTCTGTTTTATTTTTTTTCTTCCGTTGCTTGCCCTGTAATTCAAAATCAATCAACTTGGAAAATTTACAAGATTTGGGTTGAAATCTGGTCGGATCTTGCTTTGTGGGGTGTGGCAATACAAACTCTTTTTCTTCTTCACCTCCTATAGAACCAGAACAATTAAAACACCAAAACAACCCAATTCCATTGCTCTTAATACATAGTCTATCTCTGGTTTTTGGGATTGGATCTTTGGAACAATGGGCATGGCAGCAGAGTCACAGTTTCATGTTCTGGCTGTTGATGACAGCATCATTGACAGAAAGCTTATTGAGAGGCTACTTAAAACCTCTTCATATCAAGGTACTTGGGAAATTTTTGTTTCATGAATCATGGGTTTCATTGGTTGTTTTTTTGTTCTGCTTTTATCTAGTTCTAAGTGTCATTCATCATTTGATGCCAATTGCAGTTACCACAGTTGATTCTGGCAGTAAAGCTTTAAAATTTCTGGGTTTACATGAGGATGGCGCAACCAACCCCAATACGTCCTCTGTTTCTCCTAACAATCATCAGGTTGGTCATTTCTATTTTAATATATGAGATTTCCAAACTTTTTTTTTATGCATTCTTTTCTATCAATTTCCTTTTTTTTTTCTTGGTTTGTAAAATTTCTCTGTGTACAGGAAGTTGAAGTAAATCTTGTCATTACTGATTACTGTATGCCTGGCATGACAGGCTATGATTTGCTCAAGAAAATCAAGGTATGCTTTGTTTCTGTTCTTTTTCTCTTTTCTCGTTTATCATACATATTCCCTTATTCCTGTCCAGATCTTTTTATTGTTCAAGCCAGGAAATTTTAGGATCTTTTTAATAAAAAAAGATCATTTCTAGATTTGAGATTTTGCCATGCCAAATTATTACTATACCATATTGTAATGAAAAAAAGTTGCCAATATGGGGTCCTATTGCTGCCACTTGCTTGAGAATGTCAATGAAAAATCTTTTGGAATATTTTGCCTCTTGCTTTAGGCAAAGTCAGGCAACATAACCAATGGAAACATGATTTCATGATTTCCTATTTCTCTTTCTTTGTTTTATATTGCTTTCCATCACAAGAAATAGATCTGAGAAGTTTACAGGATTTTTTTTTTTATCTAATTTTGCAGGAATCTTCATCTCTAAAAAACATACCAGTAGTTATCATGTCATCTGAGAATGTCCCTTCAAGAATCAGCAGGTAAAAAGACCAAATCAAATAATCGAATTACTTTTGAAATTGCTTTAATTGCAAATAAGAAGGGTAGAAGGGAAGGAATTTGATTTTTGAGGTGAAACTTATTTTTTGGTATAATTTTTTTTTTCCAGATGTTTAGAAGAAGGTGCAGAAGAATTTTTCTTGAAGCCAGTGAGGCTATCAGATTTGAATAAACTTGGGCCCCATATGTTGAAAACTAAATTCAAGGATCACAATCAAAAACGAGAGAAGCAAGAAGAAAAAGCAGCCTTTCAATCTCCAAAACGACAAGAACAAGAAGAGCAGCACCAGCACCAGCAACAATTATTGCAACAACAATCCAACAACAACAAAAGAAAAGACATAGAGGAAGGGCTTTCACCTGAGAGGACAAGACCAAGGTACAGTGGCATCACAGCTGCGGTTTAATCATCTTGAGGAAAGAAATATGTCATAAATTCTGGGTTTTATTGAACATGTAATTCAGATAAGTTTTCCCTTTTTTTAGGGTTTTTTAGATTTTTACTGTTGGTATACATGTTCTAGAGGTGTGTGGCGATAAAGTTCTTCATGCATACAGCTTACATGATAAAGAAGAGTTGAAATTTTCCAATTTTGTTGTGTTATTTGAATTCCCAAGACAAAAGAAACGAAAAAAAAACAACAATACAAAACAAGTGTCAAATAACAGTATGATTCGAGATTATCTGAAAATTGTAAATATCAGCACATTTTCTTATGACAGAGTACAGACTGAGCGTTCTCCTTTCTTTTGCCCTTTTTTTTTCTTTGAAAGAAAGGCAGAGTCCTTTTGCAGGCTCTTTTTTCAATGTGTAATTGAACTTGCTACTGTCACGCAATAATTGGTGAGTGCATGAAATTGATCAAAGGCTTGCTTTGGTGTTTGTTTTGGATGATAGAGCAGAAAGGCTTGTTTTGGTTAAAAAAATCGTTTCTGGTTTTCAATCAAGCAATGAGTTTTGTTTTCGGATGTGGTTTGGTGGAATCAATCCCATTGTCACGCAATAAGTTTTGTTTATAACCCACTACTCAAAACAAGAAAAAAATTCAATGATTTTATGCCGCGTTGCCTGCAAAATGATTCTTTCATTCTGATTTTATTCTTGTCTCATCTTCCTCTTCATTGCCCTTTTACGTTTTTTATTGTTTTATTTTTTCTCAATTAATTTTTATCCTTTTAATTCTATTTTGTCCTTTTTTTATTTTAATTTTTTAGTCTATCATTGAATTCTTTATCTTTTTATGGATCTAATAAAAGAAGATATTATATATATAATTTTTTTTAAATCGGTAATCTTTAAATATCAATTCTAAAATCATATAACATATTCAAAGAGTTCATCAATATTTAATTTTTAAAATTAAACAAAATAACTCATTGAAATTTTTATTAAAATTTAACTTCAGCATAATAAAATATTTTTTTATTCCACATCATTCATTTGTGATTTGTCAATAAAAATGTACATGTCAGCATACTTATTGTTACATCAGCATAATTAACAGTTTTATTTAATGGCAATTAGTCACAAATGAGAAATACAATAATTAAATTACTCAAAATTGACGTAGACGGATTGATATGCTCTTTTTATCATATTGTAGACTTACCGGATACTTACAGGGTGTTTATAATAGGGTTAAAATTGAATTAATTATTAAATTAATTTTAATTTATTATTAAAAATAATTTTACAAAAATTTTAGGTTTTGATTAATTTGATTTAATAATCAAAATTAATTGCAATATAACAAAATCTTATATAAAACTAAAAAAAAATGAAAAATTCATTTTATAAGTTATTAAAGATTTTAAGTTAATATTTTGATATTTAAATATTTTGATGGATGATTTTATTTAGTTTGGTTTAAAGAAAAAATTTTAAATGAAGTTCATAAAATTTTTTAATATAAATGATTCAATTAAAACTTTAATAAAAAATTCAAATAGATAAATTAATAAAAATCAATAAAAAGATCAATAATATGTAAAAAAGCATTGAAAGTATTGTTTATAATTCAAATTTAATCAATACTTATTCAACGGTAAAAATTTTATTAATTTTTTATTAAAACTGATTATCTAAAAAATATAAAAATTTATTAGAATTTTTTTCAAAATGTATACACTTGATTTATGTAACAAAAATTTTTAATTTATCAATTTTAGTTTTTAATTTTAGTTTTTATTTAATCATTTTTATTAGAGAACTTCATGAACTTCATATAAAAAATTTTATCTATGTCTTCTCCTTGTTTTAAATATGTAAATTAAAAAGTTTAATATATAATTTAATTTGAATGTATTTTATTATTTGATTAATCAAAAAAATTGATTGAATAAATTTAATTCAATATCATTAAGTCTTTAAATCATTAAGTCTTATATTTAAATATAATTATTTGTGGGTATGTTTCAATTTTAGGTTGAATTTGTTTAATTATGTTTTAATTTGTTCATTAATTTATTTGATTATAATTGTAATTTATATTTGTAATTTCACTTAAGAATAAAAACAAGGGAAGAGGGGAGTGCTTCCACCAAATTCTCATACCACATCCTCTTCTTCATTTGGGTTGCTATCCAATCATCTGTCGCCAGTTTGGCCCATTTCATTTCCTTTGACCTTTGGGCTTAAATCTGATTTGTTTTTAAAAATTATTTGATATACGATCAGAGTTTTTTTTTTTTTCTTAAATTTTATAAGAGCGATTAAAAAATGATATTATCATTTTAATTAGTTTTTTATTTTTAATATATTTTAAAAGATATATGTTATTTTGTTAATTTTGTTTGTGAAATTTAAAAATTTTACTATCAGTATATTTAATAATTTCTAATTATTATTTGATTTTTTATTTTTTTATTTTTTGTTCTTAAGATTTTCCCATTGTTTCCTCATGTCATGTTATGGTAGTTCTTCTCAATTAGTACCATGTGAAACTGAATCAAAGGTCCAAAATTAAATAATCATAGTACTAAAATAGAAAAGGCCCATATACAAAACAAAAATAAGCCCAAATGTAATCCAAGAGGCCACAATAATATTCACCCTAAAAAAAAAGGGGGGGGGGGGACTTTCCAAAAGGCAAGAATCGTCTGCCAACTTGCCAGCCCTTTCCACCGGGTTTCTAATTTTTTTTTTTAAGGTAAAGAAAAAAAAAGAACACCGCCACCTTTTATGATCTTCCCTTTTATTTCCGTTTCCAACTATTTTCTCAGCTGAGTTTTGTACGGATCGCCTTCCAGGTGAGAAACCTCAATTCTTTGTTACTTTATTTTTTCTTTTTCCTTTTTTTTTTCGCAAATCTTTACTACTTTATTAAACGCTCGAACCGTATCCGGTACGTATCTTTATGAGATAAATCCGCGTTTCCTTGCATGCCGCCGGAAATTGAAATGAAATTGCTTCCTCAATTTCTGTATCTTATGCGATTTTCCCCCTTATTTTATGTTTTTAATTGTCTTTTGTTTCCAATTCAAATGAAAAAAAAAAAAAGAAGAATCATGTTGATCACTGCTTTAAACTTGTAGTGTTAGATGAAATTAGATAAGTTTGAGCTAATATAATCTCTTTTTTAATCGTAATCAAGTTTGTTGTTTGTAAAGTTCTTTTTTATTTGATTGCTGTTAAAGGATTTATCTGTTTTGGTGCATATGATATTGGAGCACACGAATTTGCTGTTAAATTGTTGTCGACCTATTTAAAAAGCTGTTAAAACTGCTAAGGCATGTATCAATTGTTGATGAAAGATTGATCAAGAGTGAATTTTGTATAGGTATATTAAATTATTTATTCTTGAATATTTGCTTTTTGTGTTTGATGTCAAATTGTGTCCGTTTTCAGGTATATAGCTGCAGGCAAGGTTGCCTGACTCGTTGTTTCAGTAATCTGGCAAAGACAATTTGTAATTCTTGGTATATTTGTGTTAGGTCAGTATCTTACTTTGTTTGGAACGTTGAGTAAAAGAAATGTCGACTGGAGCGGTAAGAAGGGTTTCACGTCAAGATATACAGCTGGTAAGATGTTGACCTTGATCTTTGCGGTTAAAGAACAATCATGTATAATAAACTGTACACTTATACATTAATTTTGTCGTTTGTATAAATTTACATATTAATTTTGTTTTTTTCCTTTTTCCTTTATGAAAACTTACTAAATTTCCTGCTAATATTATTACTTTATGTCAGACAGAGTGGAGTGAGGTTATTACTGTGGATTGAGTGCAATTATGTAGATATGTTTGTTTAGTTGGTAATTCACATTTTCAGAAATTTTTTTTAGTGATTCTACGATTTCAAAATTTTGAAGCTGTTTAGAGGAACGAACTATTTGGTGGAAATAATATGAAGGACAAAAAATATGTTTGGTAAGCTTACAAATATGTAAATTTAAAAGCAAAATCATAGCCTAAATTATTGAAATTGTGGAATCTACCTTTGATTTATGGAATTGGTCCTTGTTTGGGTCAGATACTAGTATCATCCATCTTCATAGTAAACAAACGTTTTTCCAGAGCAATAAATTATCTATATAATTTGTAGTTCGTCAGAAATTTGTAATTCTGACAGGTTTTATATTAATGAATAATTACATATTTGTGCAAAGATAAATGTGAAAGAGGAACAGAAGCTAGCTTGCTTTTTACCATAAAGTGGAAATACACAAAAGACAGAGGCTAGTGGAGATCTTTTAAGGAAAGTGGCACTTGACATTGAAAACAAAATTCTAATGGCCTAGAGATCTCCGTGGATTTTTCTTATAGCCAAGCTATTTTGATCCATTTTTTTAGATGGGCTGCTTTTATTTCACTATAGAAATCACAAGCAGCTTCTAATCTCAGTCTTCATATATTCTCCTTCTGATTAATCCCACCTGATCTACCCTACTACTAACATCTCAGACCTAGAATCTAAATCTCCAATCGTCTCCAGTGATATGGAAAAACAGTCAAACAAATCCTTGGTGAGTCCTTGCAAAACAGTCATTGTATTTCATTTTCACTCTGTAGCTTATATCAAAATAAAATGTTGTGCTTTTGAATTTTGTTTTCTGGGATCAACCATCTTATGGGAATGCTGGAGAAATGGTTAGTCTTGGGATTCTGTTTCCTTGAATTTCCAACTGCATGGAATTTATAATGTTTTTCCTGATTATATGTGGCAATTAGCAATGAATGCATCTTCATATGCTAACAAAGCAAAGTTCAGATAACTGAGAAAATTTATAATTTTAACTGATGTAAGTATTACCTGTCATTTATCCCCTCTTGATGAATATCAGGAATAAAGTTCTTGACAAAGTATAAGCCATTCATTTGTTAAGGAGAGAGGAGTGGATAAATGGGAAACAAAACAAACTGCATAAAACTGTTTCTATTTTGTTCCCCATGTAAAATTAAAATGTATATCTGATGTGCTATTCATTCCACATGGTTGGATGCTATTCGTCCTTTTGTGTGTGTGTGTGGTTGGAGGTGTTTCTACTGTCTTAGATTTGTTTGGCATGTCGGCTCTGAGAGGTAGTGCGCTGTCTAAAGTGTCTAATGGTGTTTTTTCTCTTATGTGTGATTCCAGGTTCAAAACCTTATAGAACGATGCCTTCAACTCTACATGACACAGAAGGAAGTTGTGGAAACTCTGCTGGCTCAGGCCACAATTGAGCCTGGTTTTACTGAACTTGGTAACAGACAGTTTAAATATTTTATTTTGCCATAACATCCACACTTTGTTCTGGTTGTCCGTCC